CTATCAGGGGATTTAACTTTTGTGGGGGTTTTGTGTGTTTAAATGTATTTTTGGGGTTTTGTACAAAAACAAATTATGTTTTCTGTGCCTGGAGTTTACTACAGTGGGTCACTCAATTATCTCCCAGGCACAGGGGAGGGATTATCCTATTAGGTATGGGAGTGTCCTGGATCTGTAATTGTGTATTTGTTTCTACTGTAGTTTACTCTCAGGTCCTTGGGGAGTGCCCCTTGCATGTGGACCTGCAAATAAGGCCAGTTGTGGCTACCATTAAATGAGTTCCTGCCTACCCACAACATAGAGTTTCATCTCATGTGTGGGGGGAACAGCTGTATCTGCTCTGGGGATTGCTAAGTCACTATACTCCTCTGGGTTATAATCACTTGCTATTGTAAGAGCAGCCTGCTCCACTCTCTGGAGTAGGAGAGGTCTGCCCACTGGGGTGCCAGACGGTCCATCACAGGATCCATGAGAAGTGTCAAAACGCTCCACTGTAAATTCCATAGTTGTCTGTTTTTAAAAGGTTCTAAACATATCGTTCTGAAAACATTCTATGCTGTTTTCCCTAAAATAAAACACTACAGGCCAGAAAAGTGGCAACATATATTAGCAGCAATATTTCAAAAATTAGAACAAATGAAAAAAAGTATTTTGTTTGCAACTTTTGAGGCAAAACTATGAAAAATAACTTTTATAAAACAATCTTCACGTTTTGTTTTTATTCATACTAACATATGGGATAGGCTGTACACGTTATAAGAACACATGGAATTTTAGTTTAATAAACATATTGGCTTCCACAATTCAGAAAGGAGAAGTGTGACACTCGTACTAATGTGATTTAATTTGGCTGATAGTAAATCCAGTATAGTTCTGAATTAGATTCATCAGATTTAATTACAATACCACACTTGAATAAAGAATAACCAATCTTTCTTTGAAAAGGGGGTCCCCAAGTAAAAATACTAAGGGTAACGATTCTCAAAAAAAAAGGTTAAATTACCCACGTACAACATGTATAACCCAATACAATTGGTAAGAAACAAAAAATTCAAATATAAACCTTATTAGTATTTTAAGGGAATATATACATAATAGTTTAAAAAAAGACAAAGTGAAAAACACAAAAGTGACTTGTGAAAATGTAATATTAAAAAGGAGAAACCTAGGAGGTCTGCCTATCTGACTTAAATATATCTATCTATCACAGCAAGCGTGAGAAAATATACAAATTCTTGATCAACCCAAGTAGAAAGATAGTATCAAGAAAGACAGCTGTTTAGTAATAAAATGCTATTCCAAGTGGAAGGCTAAAATGTAGCCAATTAACTAGCAGCAGTCTATGGAGATCAGAAGAATAAAGCTTAGCATTTAGATTCAAAATTAGATATATATTGAAAATTAGAGATATTTAAAAAGGTGAATAAATGGTATGGGTAGATACAATGATAGAGATAATGGAAGATAATGGAAGTAAACTGGTATATTAGTAGAGTCTGATTATAAGGAAGAGGAGGGTAGGTGTAGAGTGTTAATTCGCCACCCCCACCTTAATAATTAGACCAAATTCTTCTTTAAAAAAGGGTGAATATGGGATTTAAAGGGGAAAACAAGAGGGTAGTTCATAACAATAATTACCTACCCCCTTCCTCACTACATACCACAACCTTGATTAAAGGTTACAAAGAAAAAAGTAAAACAAAAAAACCCAGCAGTCATCCAAAAGGGCTGAATCAAAATAAATATATATGAGAGGTATCTGGGATTAACCCCTTAAGGACGGAGCCAAACATACACGTTGTGAACGAAA